AATGTCATCGCAGTATCGCGCTGTCAGTAGAACAAATGAAGACTAAAGCGGAGTGTCGCGCTCTGTATACGATTTTAGCGCCTTAAAAGTGCGGACACTTTTTAGCGCGGACCCGACGTCCATATAATTGTAAGTCAATGAGGGTAACACTAAATTTTGACGCATTTTAAAAGAAAATCGCTTTTGTAACTTTTGTAAAAAAATATTCACAAGTTTTTATTTTATGATTTATTTTCCAAAATCGTAATCTTTAAATGGCTTTCCTGAACATTTCAAAAATGGCGCTTAATACAATTAGCCTTTCACCCGTCGATATGATGCATTTCGACGTTGAAAACATAAACAGGTTATTATTGTCTTTGTTTAACTCTTGCGTGCCGTCTTAAGCCAAAAGAGATAGCATTACATTGGTCTGTGTCAAACACGGGAATCGACAATACCTAACGTCATCTTAAATGCCAGCCGTGTCCATTTCGCAGTATATGAGGTATATGATACGGTTGTCAAAGAGAAGTACATCAAATGTCAAAACAAATGTTTTTCTAAGTGTTTTATTGAAATATTCGCATGCATTGTAATAACATGACAAAAACATTGACAGTGAGAATAATTAAGCATTAATAAAAATGCGTCGCTGCAGTATTACGGGATGTGGCATTTGAAAAAGCGAAGATCGACCGAATGTAACATTGTACAGGCACGTGTTAATTTTCTGTCGATAAATTACACAAAAGTCCAAATATCTCATGTGATTAGACATATTTAAGTACTTTACTCATAAATCTTGCCAAATTTTGCTTTAGTTTCTTCAGATTGCCTGTTTGTTTGTATATTTTGATGATTGTTGTTAACGATTATTTTGAGATAGTATTGTTCTTGGAAGCGTACATATTATCGATATTCTGTCATTAAAATAATTCACTACGAGATTTTTATTATTATTATTTTTACTATTTCAAGTTTACCTACAAATCAAAAACGAAAAAAGAACGGTTGGAAATCATACCGCCGTATAATAGCGCCGAATATAAACATTGAATCAAAGACCACCTTCATTTATTCGCTTCATTTTGAAGAGTCAAATTTTAACATAACTTTGAATTTAACTAGATTACATGGTAATGCAATTCCATCATTAGGTTTATTGGTAAATAATTTTATATTTAATTTAGATTAAACAAGACTCATTTACTAGGCATTCTCAGTTCCTGAAAACAAAATTATCGACTCGTTTCCGATTTTTTCCTACTGACAACTCTAACTACTAAAAATTCTTATTTTATAAAGTCCATATTGGTCTAACGTTGCCTAGTGAAGGCCAATACCAACATATAGACAGCCTATTTGCCTCGCCTTGCCTTGCCATCGTTAGGTGTCCCTCGCTTAGCTGACCGAGTGAAGGCGAGCGCTAACGTGTATAGAGCTCGTTTGACGTGGCTTATCAAAACTCGCAGTTGCTCGTGACTACTTTTCTCACTTCGGAGCAGTGTCGATTTTTCTGCATAAATCAAAGGCTCGACCAATAGTAGTCAATTGACATTGTATAATCAGACATTTGCATGCTATTTAATATATGCGAAACATGTTTATGCTAACACTGCCTCTTGTTACACCTCCTGGTATTCCATGTTTTAAGTAAATAAAACTTTGATGATAATAATATTATTATTGATAATATTACTACTTTCATTTATTTCCAAAATTAAATGGAAGTATTAAAGATTCACTTAAAATCAGTCACTGGTATTAATTTTACACCAATGCATAAATACAAAAAAAGCGTACACTATTTGGAATCTGTTTAAAAATTTCTTTACGAAAAAATTAATCTTGAGGTTGGAAATGTATAGAATTTATATTTCAAAGTTTTCTCTTTTTTATATACTCTCAAATTACAAATATTGTTTTTTTCTGTGCAAATTCACTTTTCGTAATATTTGAGTATTTGTAAACGCAAAACAGTACATCAAAATTTCATGTGACATTCCCGGATATTTCCATATAACCTAAAATATTCCCAAATGGAATATTGATCTACTTTAATTAAATGTTTGCATGTCGATAATGACTTTTCGATAGATTATGGTACGACACTAAAGAAATCCGCCATTTGTTCGTTGAATTTTTGTTTAGATATACACGTTCATTCCGTAGTTAGGGCAGCTCCTTTCTAAGGTTACGATAGTTATTATGTAAACTGGACAAAATCGAATCGCTGCTTTATACTTTTAAATAACGGACTAACAAAGAGCTATTTAAACAGATTAAAGAAAAACTGTCATACAGCCTACTGCCACGGGTTACTTAATAGTTACTATTTACTACTACTGCTCGCTAGCAGCAGCGCCTATAATTGCGTGAATTAAAAAAATATTTTTTTAAATACTTTTTTATATTATAATAATTATGTTACTTTTTTAGTAATAGTGTGTTATTTTTTATTTTTATATTATGATTATTATAATACAAAAAAGTAACAAACCTGTAATTAGCTTTATGTTTATGTTCCTGTTTTTATTAGATGTAAGAAGCTGTTGGTTTTCCATGAATAAATAAATAAATAAATAAATAAATAAATAGATATTTATTAAAAATAAACCCTGCTCACATAGTTTTTTTATATGATATGTATAATAGTACCCATAGTTTTGTAAATATCATCAACAAAATAAGGCCATGTTCCGAAATAATGAGCAATAATGAACAGGGTCTACTTCTAATAAATGTAGTACATTATTGCAGAGGACAGGAAGTAAAGGATTGCAGGACGAAGATGAGTTACAGATCCAAGCGCAGCGAGCATAATACTTGTATAATACGAATCAGGCAATCCACGTTCCCGCCGAGGTTTATATAATGCTTTTTTCAAACAATACGAGGAAATAAAGATTAATGAAGGAGAATGTATATTAGAACAAGTAAAAAATAATTAATTAATATTCCATGACGAATTTTGCTTCTTGTTTTAAATCGTCTCACTAGAACTCACTAGAACGCATTTTCGCGAAGAAAATATTATAAACAATACAAAAAATAATTTTATCAAAAAAGGACTTCGAAGTAGGTACTTTCGTTTATAATATTTTAAAGTATTTGGTGCAGGTTGTGCATTTTACTTTTATGCAAAAATTGTGCATTTTCCTTTTTTCTTGAGTTTTTACCTATCTATTCAGGAAAAGCAAAGGTTTTACCATACAGTCTCTTCATATATTACTCTGAACCATAATGTAATATAACTAAGAGGCGGTATGGTCACTAAAACGTTTACATATGAGTTTCACAGCACGTAAAGCCGCACACATGCTTTGTACGTACTCGTATGTAAGTATACGTGGACTAATGGCTTCGTAACTTACACGAACTTATAATTCTGACGCACAGATGGGTAAGCGGCCGGGTTAGATCTCGGTGGTTTGGCAATGTCAATTTGTCAATAACTCTCGCCGACGGTGAAGAAATATATCGTGATGAAACCAACATGTTAAAGAAGCTGCACAACCTTCGGAAATCTTGCGAAGTCCCCCCACATTAGGCCAGAGTGGCTCAAAGTCCAAACTATCTCCTTAGATGATGAGCACTGTCCAGTAGTGGGACGAATGACGAATCGATGAAAAGCTCGGCGCTTACATAAATGTATACTTTCAAAAGTCGGTCTTTACAACTCATAAAGGTTAAATCAATTTGACTTTTGTAACATAACAGAGTTGATGCACTTGTGCCTTCATATGCATAAGTTCAATACATTAATGGCGCAAGGTTTTCACAATCCCGATGATTATTAGAAAAATTATATAACTTTAAAACAGATATTTTAAACCTCGTGTACAATAGGTTCTAAAACTTATCCGTATGCTCAAAGACCAGAACAGTATCTATCGAATATCTGTGATTCCTGGGGATCTACACTCGATCTCCGTCCGCCATCCATACGAAACAATAAATAAGTAATATTCGACAAAATTAAAAGACAAGTATCGCATGTGTGTGCACACACACACTCAACATAGCCCCGCACTAGGGAAACCCTGTGTCGCGGGTGCCATGGACACACACATAGACAACCACAAATTACACCCAAACTCATGAGAGACATAATTGTATACAAATATTTCTCCCAGCCCGGGAATCGAACCTGGGACCTCTGCGTGGCAGTCCGACATGGTAACCGTTCGGCCACGGAGGCCGTTATCAAGAATGAAGCTTCATTCGCATCACGCGTCTTCTCATTTGGTCAAGTATTGCTTATTTGGCAGTAATTGTTTCGGACGGATGTCGGACGGAGATCGAGAGTAGACCCCCAGGCACAATGTTAATAATTCAAATGTTGCAAAACATCAAAGACTTTCTTTAACGTAAAACCTTTTCCAAAACCTATAACCTTATCTAGATTTCATCATGATGTCCCCTTTCAGGCTATTATATTCAATATGAAGTAAATGTAGAACATAACATTATTACGCTAATTAGGGATCTACAGACATTTTGCATATTGAAGAGGTAGATTTGCCGCTCTTTAATAACATCAAAGTAAATCAATTAAATCTACGCGAACATACATACGATCAGGATTGTATCTCATCATCAGGACTACAGAAACTTGTATTAAATGTGTTCGGCGAATTTTCCAACGCGAAAAACTTTTGAAGTAGTATAGTCTATGGAGTATTAACCTGTATAGCCGGTTTAATGAATGAGTTATCTACCATGTTTACAATAATCAGTTAATATTTATTATCAAACAATATTCATTATCACTTTTAAAAAGCAATTTCAAAAAATACAAATACAATGTTTATTTATAAAGTAACTGATATAATTTATATTATATAATTAAGAAATAAATATTTGTTTCTTGAAGACTTTTATATTTTGGGCGGTGGATTTCTTTCGTTATAATAATTTTGCATTGTCCGGCCCAGGTGGCTGGACCCAGGCAGTTTCTTACGAAGCTTCTCGTCGCATTCAGCAATGTACGTCAATCGCCCATAAACATGACCCAATAGTGCTGACAACATTACTTTCGGGACAACACCGAAATTTGGATCTCTTTTCGTGAACCCTAAAATAAGAAAAAATTCATAGAAGTAAGAAAGCATTGGAAGGAACGTCACTAATAATAAATAAAATACAAAAACAATGAAAAACGTATAATTCAACATCTTACTTCTATGAAGATTTTCGTGGCGTCCCTACCAACGTTCCTTGCATTTACTAAGACAATCCACAAAATTCATAAAGCGGTACTAACCAAATTTTATTGCAGCATACGTTAGGGATGCAAACAATGTACTGAAAGGCAGACATCGTTGATAAAAACTTTCTTTGTCGCACTCCTCAAGTGCCTTCAGCTCGTCCTGTGTGAACTCGTAATATCGCTAAAAAATTGCAATGTCAAAGTATGCGAACATTGTCAAGAGAATATGAATTGCAATTTAGCATTCATTAAGAACTTCTTACCAGAGGATGCGTCACATTTCTAATTGGAGGACAGGGCTTGTTGGACGCTCTCGTGAAACACTCACAATTGTCTTCTTCGGCGGATTTATTTTGGTTACTCATCACTATTTTCCTGTCTCTATCATTGTAAAGGAAAGAAAGGATGGGATGAAGTTCATTATTCTAATTTAGAGCCTAATAAACTACAATGTACAAAAAATTTCATTGTCAAAATTTATCACTATGCTATGTTATATTTAGACTTTTATTTTTTAACATTTCATATGGCACTTAGCAGCCTGTGCTAAAAAATTTTTCACATACCATTTTTTTGTACCGCCATTCATGATAACAAAATTGTATTAATAGTGTCATCTTTTTTAAGTATAAATATTATTGAGTAGTGCATAGTGCAATTAGATCTGAAATTTTAACACAATATTTATCAGACTGTACCATTGCAATTTTGAGTAAACATTTTGGTGTCCTTTTACGACATTCTAAAAAGGTTTCCGAAAATCCCTTTTAGTGAAGTCGGGTTCCGGAGTTAAATAATAATAATAATAATAATAATATTTATTTCAGATTATCTCCATATTGTGTTAGTAACAATTGTAACCTTATGACTATGTTAGTTAATACAAATTTTAAATTACATTAAATTAATCCCTCCTTGCTGTCGCGTGAAGAGCCTCCCATGCCTGTACAAATGGGCCGTCGACTCTGTCCGCAACAATTTCCAGGAGGCCGTTGGAGCTGCCGCGCACGCGCCGCAGCAACGACACAACGCGCTTACGCATAATGGCGTGAAACCCATCCGTTTGCGTCTCCGCGAACATTCCTGACGCACTACAATGGCGCGGCAGCCCCAACAACATTCTGAACGCGTTGTTGTATTGGACTCGCAGGGCGCTGTAAGCCTTTTGAGTGTAGTGGATCCATAGGCTGCACGTGTAAAATGATTGACAGTATGCCCTGAAGAGCGTAATTTTTACATTATTGGTACAGTTTGCGAACCTACGGATCAACATATTACTTCTGACTGCCAGCGCCCTACGCTCCCGCTCCAAGTCCACGTTATCCTTAAGAGTTGCAGTGACCCAGTGCCCCAGGTACTTAAACTCAGTAACGCGCTTCAGAGGCGTGCCATTAAGTCGAACAGGCGGAACTTGAGCAGCCAATACTGCACCCTTTGCCTCAAAAATCAGCAACTCGCTTTTTGAAGTATTGTACCTGAGGCCATGCATCTCCGCATACTATACATATACATATAAAAGGTTGCGCCGAATGTGTGTGGTTGTAATTCTTTTTTCCATATAAGTATTGCACTGAATAATAACACTGGCAATGTTAGGTTATTGACAAATGGAAAGGCTGTCGCTGCGTTTGACAAGGTAAAGGATTTTTATGTCAAATTCGTAGTTCAGATTAGCATTATGCTTAAAACACATAATAATTTTATTTCAGAATTAGGCATTTTATAAGTGAAGTAAATCAGACGGACACAGTTGAAGTGGCGTGGTTGCGGGGACGAAACGATGGCGCGCGCCATGTTGCTGGCGTTAGCGTTTGCGGAGCTCGCGAGTGGCGCGCGCTACGTGGACTATGGCGGTGTCAAGATGCCTCAGTACGGCGGCGGTGCAGACTACGAAGGTCCACGTGACGAGTATGACGACCACTCCCCAGATATATTATCAGCGTCTCATGACTATAGGGACGAAGATGAATTAATAGGTAAGTATATGTGTACATATTAATAATAACAAGTATTTTCTGTTAATGTGGAAGGTATCAAATATTTAGCTAAGCTTATATATTGTAACTTTTTGTTTAATGTTGATCTGAAACTTTTTAATCTTTAAGGTAAGACCGAAAAGTTAATAAAAGATGTTGAAGAACCAGACGCTTGGCAAAAGTTTGACTCGACAGTAAAATATAGGCGGCAACCATCACATAGTGATGATGGGGATATAGACACGCTTGATAAGTACAGTCCAGAAGAAATGGTACCCAAATTCAAATCAAGCAATCGGTTTGCGAAGCACCGATCACTTAAAATTAGAGATTTTGAAAGAGTAGACTCACCACGAAAGAGGACTTCAAAAACACAAACTCGTCACAGAATTGAAGACCATGTCAGAAAAGACGCGCTTGATGAATTGCATTCTGATGACTTTAGTGAGAGTAAACACAGTGATTTACACGAAGATTCGATGGAGTACACTCGAAGAGCGACTACTGCTAGAGTAATTAGACGGAAACCTAGAGATAGATTTGAGAAAGATGAATCTGACGATGATGACCCGCTTGCTGAACTGGGTTTAAGCCTTGGTGACAGTGGTATAATGAGTAGTGGCCGTCTTGCCAATTATCCGTCAGATACTGAGTCCCGTAGAGGTGGCGGGCCTCCGAAGCGCCCCGAAGGTGCCCCGTTTTTCATAGACAAAGATTTTCATAGAAGTAGCGGGTTTCAGAGGCGACCCTCAGATAAGAGCGGGACATTTCGCGGTAGAGAAGACTCTATAGAAAAACCAATTCAAAAAGGCATTCCGGACTATAGCGATTACTACGACATGAGAAGGGTTGAGAGTATAAAGAATAAATTGCCCGGTTTTTTACACGTATCTTCTGAAGGTAAGTTTCTTTTACAATTTTTGAACGCTCTATCTCAGAGTTTGTGTTTACCTAATCGTTTATGTATATACAGAGTTTAATCGTTAAGTGTGCTCAGGTATCTCTTACATTTACGGAATAATCGCCTGGACACATTTAACAATTACACCATTACAATATCTAGTATTACTTATAACATATTGTGTTTATGTATCACCATCACTTTTTTACACGAAGCTCGAAAGTATTATTTAGTATTATTTCGGCGGATTAGTTAATCTTAGGTTAACATTTATACTTAAAACATTATATTAAATAACGGGTCGTTATGTAACTCATTTTTTGGAATAACAATTATATTTGTTAAGTACGCAAGTAGTAGTGAAACTGAGTGCTTTTCCCTTAAATGTCAGTGACAGAGAATTAAAAAAAAAGCTAATGATAGGCTTGTGTGTGCTCAGCCTCAGCAGACAAGCCAACCTGGAAAAGTGTGGTGCCTTTGCGACGAGCTGGCGGCGGTGTCGTGATGGCTCCGACGCCTAATCCAGGACTCCTAAAGGTGACCATCCCCTCTACGATTACTACGGATGCGCCGCTTCCTGAAGTATCGGAAAAACTCTTGCCAGCATCCAAAGTGAAACATTCTACTGTTGTCACGTCAAATCCCGCTATAATCGTTACTTATAAAGACGCAGCTTCAAGGCTTTCACTAGCCCAGAAGTCGAAACTTTCCATAATGAAATCTTTAAAAAAAGATAGTGGTATAAGTGAAACTTCTACTAAGCCTCCGGTGTTATTGCAAGTAACAAAAAAAGGACATACTGTTATTATGGTGGAGCCTCCGACCGCTCCAAATCCGTTGCTGCTCGGTGCACGGTTGGTGTCGAACGACTCTCCTGGTACGCAGGAGAAAGTGAAGCGGCTGATGAGACAAAAACTATTAGCAAACTCCAAGAACCTCCGCGAGCTCACTGAAAATTGGGATTCTATGATTTGTGATTATATTGATACATCTTTGTTAACAGAAGATCATCCTAACTACTTATCTAATAGCAATATAAACTTATGTACACTTAATGTTGTTATTCTTCTATGTGCCCATTACATTGTTTTAAAAGAATAAATACTTTGTTTACTTTTTATTTTTGTTTTGAGCGGAATATTTAGAACCAAAATTTTGTGTAGGTGTTTCCTAGCACTTACATTGCAAACACTAAGACATATACTGATCTTTCTTAGCTTCACCTTGTTCCTACAAAAAGGAAGTTCTCTATTCAATTTCGTCCATACTAAGGCCCAATAGGTATTGGTCTATACACAAAAAATAACCTACGTTTGTAGCAAACGCTATTTCGATAGATATATAACCAAACATTACTAAAACTATCGTTTGTTCGTTGTGTTTCGGTCCCATCAAGAAATTTGTTACTCACAAGATATTTAAATTCACCCAGTACATTCACAAAGTAAAATAGTTAAAGGTGGTTCTTAAATTTAACCAATCTAACCTACCTACTAGGGGCACAACCGATACTCCGGAAAGCCGATGATCCGCCATAATGTATCGGAATCGAAAATATTATTAGCTGATAAGTTGATAGACGCGTTAGAGAATTTATAAAGCCGTTGTCGATTATAGCAAAATCTATGATTTCGATTCAATACAACACATCATTTGGTGTACTTGAAGTATCAAGAAGATTAAAGCTTTACTTATATTATTTTGTGTAGACGCAAGATTTTTGTAATTTTTTAATTTCGCTAACATGTAATAATTTAGATATGTTTTCTTTGGAATGGGAAGCCGTTTATGTGTCTGGTATGGCAAAAATGTTAATCTGAAATATACATATTACACTCTGATACGAATGCATTGTTGAAATAAAAGAGAACCACAAGAATTAAATTATTTTTATTTTAGACTTTTTGATACACGAAAATTATCTTCGTATCTCGCAGACACATCTCTGATATCGAATACACGACTGGGCGACTGTAGCGAATCATGTACATCTGCAAAACCGCTTCCACCGATGAAGAGTAACAGGAGATCTTCTTGTGATCTTACACACTGTCGAACTCGAGTTCGTCCAGAGAAGTACTGCCACCTTATTTATTTCTGCCGCCAAGCAGTTATGTGAGCGTTATTGCGTTGTAATTTTGAAGGGCAAGAGCGCTGGCGAAATTACAGGCAATTGGGATTAGTCAACTTATATCTCTGGGTAACGGGCGCAGTAGCAATGCCCCACAGATCTTTGCGATTGAAAGCTCGGCACTACAACTGTTATGGACAGGCGTGTCGCAAAACACCAGGCGCACCAGTTGTTTGTCACGTTCGTCCCGTCATCTGAAACATAATTTGCTAGCGAGTTTATGCTAAAAAAAATTTGCCACTTTCGTAGCTGACGTTTGTTGAGTATTTTTATCGTGGTCGTCACGAATTTGGTAGATTGTTAAGAAGGAGATTATCCCTCATTACGAGTGAACCAAATTTTTCGATATGTACGAATCTTCATCGGTTGAAGCGGTTTTGTACATAATGTACATACATGATTCGCTACGCCGTAGTTGGGTAAACGATACATTAAAGACGTGTCTGTGAAATGGGAATACAATTCTCGTGTACCGAAAAAGCTTAAAACAAAAATTATTAAACTCAGGTTCTTTTTTATTTCAACCAATGTAATCGTATTTGAATGTAATATGATCCAGCCAGCTGTGCCATAGAACCTGTAAAGAGTCCGAAATGTTGGTTTGCTTGAAATAACAAATATGTATTTATTTCAAATGTGTCTCAATCACGAGAAATCAAGAACTCGCAATTTCTTTTTTTAAGAATTTGTAACGTTTTGGTTGATCTTTTATCGATGCTCCCCACAGTGGTACTTAGTTGTTAACACTTTTGTTTTGGTGTTGCGATTTGTAAGTTTTCAATTAATTTCATCTTTGATTGCACTAATGTAGGTCTATGTCATAGGTCACGAAACATCGTCGTCAGCTACAGTAGCCAGCATAGCTGAGAAAGAACTGAAGGCAGCTCTTAGCGCACACCGCCAGCGGAATAATGCTCCCGTCACTGTTAACAACCCACGATTAACCATAGATGACGCTGAAGTTGCCACTTTCACTCCCTCTGTGATTTCCATCACAATGTCTCCAGGAGCTGTAGAACGTAACATTGCATCTGAATGGAGTTCTTTTATTGCGCTTAACAGTGCATCGCCTAATAGACATATAATTTCGAAGTACGTTGTTTATTTAGTTTTCATAATAACATTGTTGCAACGATATAAACAGATTATTTTCTTTGTAAATTAATCCATAAAAATGAAAGCATTTTTGTTTTAGTAAAATAAGTAGAGCTACGATTTACAGTAATAAAGTAGAAGGTAAATTAAATCATAACGAAATTTGTTGCGTTAGAACGTGGTTAGAACAAACGCAGGCAAAGCAAAACAATATGGGTGGTTGGATATTTGGCAGCGGCAGCGTTAGTGACGATGCGATAGTGACACCTAGCGGATGGCGATATGGTGCGGACGGTTGTAGCGAGAGGGCGCCATTTGCGAGTGCTGCGGTAGGATTGATTGTGCGGAGGGAGGCGGAGCGACAAGCGCGAAGTGCGCTGCCTAGCGAGTGCTGCCACATTTAATTATTTATTCGCCGCGCGAGCCGCGGGCCGGAGGTCGGTCGTGGTCGAGTGTGTGCGGGGCCGGCGCGTCTCCCCGACTTGGTGTTGTTCTGTCCACTCTGTAACCCGGTGTTGTAAGTGACTATTATGAGCGACAGGGACAGGTCGTCGCCCTCCCTCACGGATACTCCGCTGAAGACTTACATAGGCCGGCACGACGACGACTACCCCCTCATAAACGGAAACGGTAAGTTTTTGAATGGGGTGGTTTAAATGAATGCAGAGTGATAGCTGTGTGACAGTGATAAGTATAGCGCGCGCGATGTCAAGCGCGGACAAGCATCACGCGCTCGCACCTCGTGCGCATCCCCGCTCTAGGGCAGCACGCGCTTCCTCACACGCACGACCAGGGCACTGGGTCAACCGGCACCAGCTGTCTGATACTCTCTGTGGTAACGATTAGACGATTTCCACTCTTAGCACATGCATCCACTCAGACACTACTTTTGCCGCATTGAAGCTTTAGTGACTTCGATCGACCCGTAGGTGCTGTAGCCCCTTTTCAAGACCTATATTGTGATAACTATGTAGATATAGCTAAGCGCTGCCGACGAATGAACGAAGAATCACAGTGTACCTTCCTTAGCCGTAGTTCCACTTCGGATATAATTTTCGTGATATTCTTTGGCAAAAGACATTTTTATAACTCTCAAGAAATAGTATATTAGATAGTCCCCTGTTGGGTATACATTTTAGGGGGAAGCGAGAAAGGTGTTTTGCTGCGGTCCCCAGTTGCCGCGGATCGATAAAGGGTGACCTTATAGGTCTAAAAGCCGAAATTGTCTTTTAGGCGTGTTGTTTTATAATCGCGAGATAATGGTGGCGGTGCCCGTTGCCGCAGCATCACGCGTTGCGTGTGCAGTAGCCCACCGGAGGGTTGAACCAGTGTAAAAAATATCAGTACGGAAAATGTACACAAAGATGTATCATTGCGTTAATGATTTTTTAAAATCGGAATGCTTTATGCAATATAAATTGGCATGTAATATTTTGAAAACAATTTTGGACATTTGACATTGGACATTTTAGTATCCAAGTAGAGTCAAACTGTGTAGCATATAAACATTGCGAACTTTTTATTATTTCTCATTTTATTTTGAAACGTTTGCAGAAGGTAAAAAAACTAATGCAGAATAAAACCTAGTAAAACCTAGCGGTCAAAATTAGTGGTAAGATGGTGGTAAGTCCTTCTTTCCAGCTGTTGTGTCTATATCTCGAATGAACAAAATTATTGACTGCGCTAATTATTATTATCATTTGTTTGTTATCTGCGAGCGCTTGAGAAATGTTAGAATTATAGACATATTCTTCATTTCATAATAGTACTGATTTTGTTAGATACGAGTATGTACACACAGCGCAGGGCTCTAGGAACGGAACTTCAGTTTATATCGGTTTGTGGTAGCTGCAGCAATGAAGGCTACCTACAAAACTTCAGTTTTCATTAACCTTTGTATATGTATGTATATGTGGGCGTATATCCTGAACGAAGAGTGATACATTCACTGAATGGACCATTCTATTGTTTGATGTTAAATTGAGCATTGCAGCCCATCGGTGCCAGTAGAGTTGTGCCAGAGGGGGCGGCGTGAGGGATGCGCGGAGAGCGAGGGACGGGGAGACTGGCTGCTGTGCAAATCGAACAAGTTTTTGTCAATGAAGATAACAGTACTATTTGAAATCACAAAACATTCTCTGAATTCAGGCAAACACTGCTTGTCACGTACATGAGAGCAACAGCAATGTTTAACACTTAAGTTGCTAATAGAATGACTTACACTTTTTGCTTTCTAGGATGTTCACTTCAAGATGAACGGATCACTCGCAATTTCGTAACTTTAAAGTAGGAAATCCTAAGGTAACGCTACCAGCAACTACTGTAGACTAGTTGTTCCTTACAACTCTACTATCTGTATTGAAACATGCTTTTAATGAAAAATATGAAAACCTTACCACTGGCTTTCAAAATAATCAATAATAAACAAATTGAGTGCGAAAGGATTTATATTAAAAGAAGTACATAGGAATTTAAAAAAATTATACGCTTGATAATGATCATCGCCGCAATTATCAGACTATGTACTTTAGTTTCAACCGCTATTTAATGCAACTTGCTCTCTTTGTACAAGTCTACAATTTGTATAGAATTCGATTTAAAACCGCGAAAGATCAGCGCGCTAAACTGTTTTTTCTCCTTACAAAATCAAAAAGTAAGATGAAGGTAAATAAGAATGTTCTGGTACTATAGTCGATCGAAGCTCTGTTGTGTTCCTCAGTTATTAATTAAAGAATGGATCTCTAGCGCTAATCGGATCTGCATTCTAGAGAGACGCCCGTTTTAAACTTTGTCAATACATCCACCTATTAGGTGATGTCATTAGGAGATCACGTCAAGTTAAAATCTTCTATCACTCTACGTGTCGTGTTAAGATTAACGTCTCAAATCAGTTTCTTTGAACTACGGTGTCAGAGACAAAAAGATATACATACCTATTTACTGCACGACTTCCATAATCCAAAGACGGTAATATAAGTTAATTTAAGAACTCGTATTATTATATTTTTCTCCAGAAGGACAATTCTCGCGTGCCATAACTTTTTCTCGGTGTTCAAGATTTCCGATTTCCTCTTTATATATAATCGTGATTCCAACGCTAACTGTGTAAAGTAAAAAGGTACAAAAAGCTACAAACATTGAAATTACACTAGTACTGACTTTCGAAACCGATGTTTGTTATTAGAAGCAATAGTTAGTCTATATAGTCCAACAGTTCCCATGCGGGCCTAAAGCGGATTGGGAATGTCATACACATAAAATTGCTTTGCAGATGTGTGCAGGTTTCCTCACGATATTTTTCTTCACCGAAAAGCGCATGTTAAATTTCCACGTGAATGTTGTAGTCGCCGGGAACTGAGGATTTGTTCGCAATACTAAAACATTAAATGAGCAATATGCAGAAATATGTATGCGCAAGGTCGTGGAATTATTATCAACTGCGGGTAGTGACTATCAGAATCTTTACAGTCGTCCTGGTGAGGTAATAGTGTATATTATAACATATTTACATATACATTGCAAAATATTGAGCACATTCCCTTGTGTGTATTTTAAGTGGCCTACTTAAAAGTTTTCAAACAATGTGTTGTGAGCAATACCAATGAAACCATGGATGCAAATATATTACAGGGCCTATTTGTGGAAAACTTTTTATGAAAAATATGACATTTATGTACTTTAGTAACATTTAGTAACATTTGTCGTCGTGCGGATACGAGCGTTTCGCATGATTCGGATAATTATATGCAAATTAATGTTAATATAGCAATGTAGATTAAACACTAGTCGATTATTTTCTTTTACTTTGGAGTTACTGTGTATAGGCCATTTGAAGGCAAATACAATATCAATAGATAACATTTTGTTTTATTGTTAGATTGATATACATAGTCATATGTATGTGCACTTATCAGCAAAACAAGACAGTGGTAAGGATTCAACAATTTTTTTATCATTATTATTCAATGACAGGCACATTCAGAGTAGGTGTGTTGCAAAAATAAATTGAGTTTCTTCTAGCCATCTCACGTGCACGTTCGTCGTTAAACTTTTTATTAAAATAATCAGATGAGAAGTAATTCACATTTTTCATTATTTCATCGCAGAAGCCAAAGGCGATGTACAAATATGTTAGTAAAAACGGTTACTTCAAAGAATTGAAAGACGAATGTAGAAAGAATTTTAATTTAATAAAACCTTTTTGTGAAATGTCTTAACTTTATTATCGCAAAAAGTGGATTTAACAATAAAAAACCCGGTGGAACGGGGGGAGCACTATAAGTTTCCGGAATGAATAAGAAAAAAATACTATAAATGGTCAGAAATGAATTTATTGTTTTTCAAAATATTCTCCGTTAGCGTTCATGCACTTTTTCATACGAATGAACCAATTTTGAAAACCATTTATGCCACTCTTCCGTGACAATCTCTGAAACATATTTTTCATACCCTCGACAGCCCCTTCAGGTGATGAAAATCGTTAATCGCATAACAGGTTCTTAATTTTTGGAAATAAATTAAAGTCACAAGGTGCCAGGTCGGGACTGTACGCGGGATGGCTTATAAGGTCAACGTTGTTCAACTTCAAAACTTCATTTGTCTGTCTGGCCTTGTGAGAACTGGCATTATCGTGGTGCAAGATGATACGGCGTTCACGGTTATTTTTACGGAGTTTGTCAATAACTTCTGTCAAACAAATGGTCGTGTACCAATCACTATTCACGGTACAACGATTCTCCGAAGCAACAGTAGCCACGTGTCCCGTTTTATTTAAAAAAAAGCAATCATCCGCTTAGAGGCACCTTGCACGCGCGCCACTTTGGTTGGTTTTGGCTCATCTCGAAAGACCCATACGCTCGATTGCTGCTTTGTTATGGGATCGTAAATATAAATCCATGTTTCGTCACCTGTTAGTATGTCCCACACCAAATTTGTGGCCTCTTTGTTGAATCTGGTACATGGCATTGCACCAAGTGACGCGATCCGTTTTTTGAGCCTCAAATATGAAACTCAAATTGTGTGGGATCCACCGAGAGCACAGCTTTTTCACACCCAAATGTTTGTGTAGTATTGATTGTATTTGACTCATGCCTATGCCTAAAGATGCCCGGATCTCATGGTACATGGTACATGCCTGTCTGTTTTGATCATACGGCGCACAGCATCGATGTTTTTGTTGTTCACAGCAGTGAACGAGCGATCATCACGAAATTCGTCACTGAGATTCACACGACCGCGTTTGAATTCTGCAAACCAGTTATAAATAGTCGTCTTGCACGGTGCTTCATCGCCAAAAGCAGTTTGAAGCCGAATGATGCTCCGCTGAGCTGTTAAATTACACTTAAAGTCGTAGAAAGTCTTACTAGGAAAATTTTCACGAGTTAAATCCATGGTGATGTAGACA